TTCTGCACCTCTCAACTCCTTCACCATCTCCCGAGTCACGTGCGCTGTGACGTCAATTGAGGTGGCGCTGGGTTCCGGTGAAGCTCTCTCTCAAGAGCCATCAGTGAGCAGCGAGAACTCATCCGCTCGCGACCGCTTGACCACGTGTTGGCGGCGCAGCGCGAACAATATGGTGAAAGGACGAAAGTCTCATCCGGATTCGGCCATACCCGTCCGGCTCTGTCCCCCTCCCCCTCCGGCTTCTGGCGGCTGTTTGCGGTAGCAGATGGAGCTGACGGTTTTGTGGACCTAGGATAGATGGCGCCACTAAATCTCCGTACAATGAAAGTTTTGTCGATGATACCAGGTTTTTGACGCATTTATATTCATGTTGGAACGACAACATTTATAGAAAAGTTACCTTTTATTGAGCAGCTAAGCGCACAACTTGCTATCTTTCTACAAGACCCTCATTGACGTCCTGTCGCGTGTTTCTCATGGCCGCCGCTCGCGGCTGCAGGTCGGGGAATATTCTAATTTTTGCCTCGCGATTACGCGGCGGAATCGCAACATTTCGAAGGAAGGAGGCGTTGTTTTTTTTTGTCCTTTGTGACAAGATGAACAGTGTCCAAAGTAGAAGATGCCAATTCTTTCAACGTTAAAGTCCCTGCACAGCACCTTTGAAGAAAGAGGTTGTCCCCGCTTCTCCCCAACATAGCAACTCTCGCCCACTAGATGATGTGTACAGCAGCAGCCTCACCCTAAGGAGTCAACAAAATGCAGCACACGCCCTGAAGCCCATCTGATGCTCCCGTAGTTTGTGCTGCTCTTGAAGGACCGCGTGCTAAAGGGCAACGCAGAGGTGACCTCTTTTCGTTGCCTTTTCTCCCAAAACTCAGCATGTGCAGGTCTGCCCAGATTCGAAGATCATTCGAGTAGCTTAATAATTCTCCAAACGTTTTTACAAAAACAAAAACTGATTTGGGAACTACTTTAAGACCATGGTACTTAAGGTACTATTTCAAGTAGGATTAGAAAACTTGTACTTCACTTGAAGTACATTCTCTGAGCATGTACTTGTACTTTACTAAGGTATTTTTTTCTGGTAATTTCTGAAGAAAGTAAAATTCTCGACTTCAAAGTACATGCATTCCTCAATTTGCAAACAAAAAATAGCGTTCAGCATGTGAAAACTCGCTATCGTCTTTCCAGACGTCATCTGGTCATTTCTCTGGATGAAGTAATGGTGGCTATAAGACCGATAGAAATAAGTGCCTTATAAGTTGATTGCGTTTAATAATTCGTTAGTGAAAATGGAACAACTACTGTGTGGCGACTTGACTTTATTCAGTATTGGCCGCCATTTCCCATAAAAAAAAACGGATGCACATCCGATTAGCACCCCTGGAGCAATGCACACCTGATAAAAAAAACTGTTTAGGTTTACTTGAATTACATAACCTCTTATTTACTGTGCACTTTACCTCAAGTAGTTGTTAGATATACTTTACGCAACCCCGTAAACAAGCAAACACTATCTGCCAAATCGAGCTCAGGCAGTGCGAAGAAACCTCAAGGTAGAAATGATACATCCGCAGTACATCACTGACCAGAAAACAAAAAGTACAAAACAATTCGCTTTATATTTGGGTAGCTTAAATTCGCTAAGAGATCAAAACATTTCTGTACTTTCTTGTTATTATAAAAAATATAGAAGCAACTTCAAAAGTAATACGTTACTTTGTTACGGTAGGTAGTAACTTACTTAGTTACTTTCCATTTTAGTAACTTCTACTCTACTCAAATTACTTTTGAGGCCAATACTGAATAATTTAAGTTAATTACTTTTTGAGTATTTTTTACATGTCTGGATCAAGCATAGCACGTTTCCTTCTATAGAGCGACAATTTATGGAACTAACAATTATTTGAGAGTGACGTAGCTCTAAAATCCGCTGCGCTAAGAAAGAAACCAACATTATAGGTGCGCGAACCTACACTCCGTATCAACCGCCCTCCCCCGTCCTCTCTCTCTCGAATTGATGCGGGGTGTTAGACGTCCATATAACCCAAATGTTCTTTTTTTTTTCTAAATCCGTTGCGGTTTTTTCTAGAGTCAATTGAACGATTTTCTAAACTTTAACAACCAAAGCAACTTGCTTAAATCTTAAGGGGACAATAAAGACGATTCCCAAGTTCGGTTTAGCGATTGAAATCGATGTATTCCAGGTAATGTTGACGAAGCTTTAATAAGACATGCTGCTTGCGCGCCACACACATTAATTTCACATATACAACAATGCTCCCTCCTCGACCGGCGACAGCGACACCCGTGAGTGGGAAAAAAGCCAGTTTTTACGTGATGGGAGTGTGACACGAACTGAGGGTCGTCAGACGACGTCAGACGCGCATGCGCAGAACGCTTCTCGGAAAAGGTCCATTGCGTTCTTGCCTTCAAAGATGGTTGGCAGAGCGTCGGATGCAAACATACATTGTTTGCATATGCGCCGTCCGAAACACGTTCCTAGCAGGCAACAAGGTATTCGCTCAATCTCGTATGTTGGCATAGCCGGAACCCACCCCTTTGAAATCTCGCTGTGGGGGGAAAGGGCGGTAAGCGGGAAGAACACCTGCGACGAGCGCTGTTCGTGGAAGCCGACAGCTACACATGAGTGTGGCATGGTGCAACAGCGCGAGTCAGTGGCTTCGGCGCCACGAATATTTCGCAAACCGTGAACAAACAAGAGAACAATCAACACGTCGGGCGATTGAGTCAATAGCAGGACCTGTCAACGGATAAAAGCAAGCGCTATGTAGCGGTAGAACGACGAAGGCTCGAAAAGTCAGTATAGCCTACGAGGGAAGCACGGCCAGCCACTGCGATTTCCTTCAGCCGGACCCTTTGTGACGTTAGCTGCCGGGCTTCCTCCTCTCTCCCCTTTCCTTTTACTTGGGAGGGGCGTGGCTTCTGACGTGCTATCTGAAGGTGATGGGGCTTAACTTTAATGGGGACAGTTATATACAGCGGAAAGGCGTGTGCATTGGTTCGGCAGTGGCTCCAGTGTTGACGGAGTTATTTCTCAAAACTCTTGCCAAAAATATAACAGATTTTGTTAGCTTTTTGGGTGTTGGTGGGGTTTTGGTTTGGAGGTTTGTTGACGACATCTTGATTTAGACTCCGAATCAACATTCCGCTACTGAGACCCAGAACTTTATTTTGACTGCTACACCGTAATTAAAATTCTCCTCTGAGTAAGCGAAAGATGGAAGAGTTGCAGTTTTTACACTTCCAACTATTGAATAAAAATGGGCGTTTGTGGTCTCATGGAAAAGAAATTGCGAGGACGAGTCTTTCTATAAAAAAAAAAAAAAGCTCGTAAACTGGGGAGTGGTAAGATCAATACTTGACAATGCACTGAAGAAATCTTGTTTTCATTGTGTGGGGAACGCTTTCGGTGTTCAAGTGAAACGTCTACTGTCGGCGGCCGGGGTAGTTTGGAGTTTATCGTTTCAAGTGTACGTGGACAGCTTGCACGCGCATCGGGGACCGCTGTGGAAGTTTAAGGCGGAACCTTTGCGGTGATTTCTTATTTTCATGGTATTTCTCACAGCCTAAAGGCTTTGGGTGCGAAATTTAACGTAAACGTGGTTTTTAAAACGGACTTTCGTTTGGACAAGCTCACCCCGTTCGCCTTCGGACGGGTTGCGGGAAAAAACATTGAGATACCACTGTCTCCTGTGTCGCAAAGGTGGTCCATAAGATCCCTTTTGACTTCGGGCTGTGTTATGTTGGACAGACAAGGCGTTGTTTAAATGAGCGTCTAAAAGTACTGTAAAGAATAAGGCGCAGTTCTGAATAGTCAAATCACGTTGGTTCGTGTAATTTGTGTTCCCCTCTTTGGGATGAAACTTCCGCTCTATTTAACGAAAAAGATTTGTTTAGAACAGAGTGTCGAACCGATATTTTTATCGGTTCGGTTCGGGTTCGGGTTCACGGCTTTCGGTTCAGTTCCGGTTCAGTTCCGGGGCGCAAAAAATAACGGTTCAAACCGGTTTGAACCGCTAAATTGATAATATATTCTGCGCGTTGTTTCGTCATTATGCACTATTTAGGCCGTGAAACCAACTGCTGTAAACGGTCTGATTTTTGCGAGGACTTATTTCTGAGAATTTCGCAAATCGCCTACAATCCGCGAAAAATGGGTCCCCAAAGAATTTCGGTAAAATGTAAACAGATTGAAATTTATATTGAGATTCCACCGCGTCGAGAAAATTACAACCCGCGAATTATTCCGAAACTTCAGCTTTGACCTAAATCGCGAAATATTGAGCCCACGAAAAATAAGTTGTTTACAGTATAAAGTTTTTTTTTTATCGTTTGTTCAATCCAGTTTTATTTTCAGGTACAAAAATTATAAAATTCTCTTATTTATACCTGCACAACGAGAAAGGAAAATCTACATCAACATACAAAACGTCGTATGGCGGCGTGCGCGAACTATAGCGGGCGCTTTCCAGCTATCATCATCATCGTTTGTGACGTAAGCAGTAGGACTGGTGGATGCCTCCTCCTAGGTCGGCCGCGCTACGCTTCGGTGCTCGGGTGGTTGCGATCGTTCCTTTTGAAGTTTTCTAGACGCGACAAAGGTTGTTTCACACGTTGTCGAAGCGCCGAGATGGTGGTGTACTGCTCGGTACCGCAGTGCAACACCTACCACGGTGAGACGGGCGCAAGTTTTTATTATTATCCGCGCGACAGGAAAGTCAGAAAGGAGTGGCTGACCAAGTTGAAAATGGGCAAGACGAACTCGAAAAGCTCTCGCGTATGTAGTAAGCACTTCGATGAAAGTGACTTCGTGTACCCTGTGGGCTACAAGGTGCTCGGTGAGTGTTATTGTATCAATAGTTTCGAGTTCACTTCTTCCTGTGCTTTGCAAACGAGTAAACAAATGCATTCCCTCTACAGGCTGGAAGAGGCGGTGGCTGGCTCCTGGAGCCATTCCAAGTAAATGCTTGCCTATTCGCCCGTTTGACGCGAAACGGCCGAAACCAATTCCGCGATCGAGACCTGGAAGAGCGAGTAAGTCACTGGTAATTGGTAATGAACCAAGGGAGGGGGGGCGGGGCGGGGCGGGGTTCGTTTCGAAGCTGTCGTACACCTGCTACGAATCATTCTGGTCGCTCTTTTTACGGACCCAACTGTTTTAAGCAAGAAGTGTGGTATGCTTTTCAGCAAGAGCTTTTAAGTTTATAATCTATCTTCGTCTAAAAATTGATAAATCATTTGCTAATTTGTTGGGCCATGTCCAGCAGTTAATCAAGATATATAAATCTGCAGGGCATAACACTTCTTAACCTTCGCGTGCAGTATGGAGAACCTCTTGTTAAGCTGTGTGTCACCTGAATGGCAGCGCAGGCTAGCAAACAAAGCGTGATGGTGGAGTATGCCCGAGCCCTAACACACAGTCCCTCTACATATGATGTTCAGCCAGTAGAGGTCCTACTACAAGTGTTGCTGCAACAGGGGTGGCTCCGGATACAAGTGCCGACATGACCGAGGAAGCAACAATCACAGGTGTGTTGAATACTGCAGTTGTCTTTCTGCATCAGTGTCGCTGAACGAAGCCAAATACCTACCAGGTGGTTAGTCATATTACTGTAGTGTCGTCTATGCCATAGCTTGTCTAGCTCTGAGGCAGCTACGCTGTGGGGAAGGTGGGGGCTACTATTTGTGAATCATGTCATTTAATATGCCTCCAACGCACAAATGCTCAAAACCTATACTCGGCGTGCTTGCACTTGTGTTTGGCTGCACTCTCACATAGCAGAAACAAATGCCAAAACTTTAGTTTCACTATCGAAGCACATGCCAAGGCAACTAATTTGCATTTTTGATCTATGTTGTGCTTGTGTCCTTAGAAACATAGATAAGGCATTGATTCTCCATTTAATTTCAATGAGCAGTTTCATTCGCTGCAGATTGCCAGAGTCCTGGAGCTGAATGTGAGGCCGATGCCGACCTTGCCACAGTTGCAGCCGCTTCCAGACTGGCCCACTTTACCAGTGCTGGTGTGAACAGCGCAGCCACCATCATGGGTGTGTTTCATTTGCCTTCACATTTGTAGTAGTCATTGGCCTGGTACACAGCACACGCTCCTCTACAGCATTCTAACCATGGTGCAAGAAGAACCCATTTAGGTGATGATGCTATCCGCATTCCTGTGGAAGGAGTGCGTCCGCAAATGCTTTGCACCGAGATGTGGAGAGGGCTGCTTGTTACCGAGCAATCGCGAGCCACCGTTTTTGGGTGCCATCTAACTACGTCAGAAATAAGTGGCAAGCACGCACCAACCTTGGCCGCTAATCGGTTCTGTGTGCCTTGGCACCTTTCTTGAGTGCTGAAAGATGGCGCCCTAATATGGAGGCAAGCTTATACAGCGCATGCCCAGCGGCGAACACAATCTGGACGGCCACCTAAATGGGTTCTTCGTACACCGCAATTGTAACTCAAAGAGGGTCGGAAGATATAACACTGTTATCATTGTCTGTGCTTGTATTGCCACGCGCATCAACGCAAGCGGGCACATAGCCTACTGGTCACCATGCGCGGCTTCCACGAAGAAGACCGAGGTTCGAACCCGGGCAGCGGACACACTTTTTTTTTAACGTTCTTGTAAATTCGAGAACATTACCTCATGTTCATAATCAGAATGTCCTATGCACCGAACTTTCTACGCCGATTGCTCGAAGGCCAGACATGTATAATAAGGGCTCTGTGTGACGAGCTGGAGTCGATCTTGTTCAAGCGCTTGACACTGCTGCTACGCCGACGCCTGCGGCGCTACTTATTATTTTGTTTTGGCACAAGTTCGCCTTATTAAACATTCAGTTTCTTTCGTTCTTTCTCGCCTCTTCATTAGTCATTCGTGACAGTATTAAAGAAATATCTACTCACGCATGCTATCCTTTCATTTCAAGAACTGCCCATGGCTAATAGCTGCAGAGATGACTTCAGCAACGAAGTTAATAGAAAGAATGTACTTTTTCCAATCTAAACTGTATTTTGTATGCTTGGTGGCTAGTGCATTTATTCTGTTTGATTGAAAGTGGTAGCAAAGGCTGACCTGAAGGGCATATCTAGCTTTGAGGCAGCTACGTTTGGGGGAAAAGGGGGGGGGGGGGGGCTACGATTTGTGAATCATGTCAATTAATATGCCTCGGACGTAGAAATGCTCAAAAACTATACTCAGCTTCAGCAAGAACCTACAGTGGAAGCTACAAGTGCAAGCTCAGTGCTTGCACTTGTGTTTGCCTGCACTCTCACGCAGCAGAAACAAATGCCAAAACTTTAGTTTCACTATCGAAGCACATGCCAAGGCAACTAATTTGCATTTTTGATCTATGTTGTGCTTGTGTCCTTAGAAACATAGATAAGGCATTGATTCTCCATTTAATTTCGATGAGCAGTTTCACTCGCTGCAGATTGCCAGAGTTCTGGAGCTGAATGTGAGGCCGATGCCGACCCTGCCACAGTTGCAGCCGCTTCCGGACTGGCCCACTTTACCAGTGCTGGTGTGAACAGCGCAGCCACCATCATGGGTGTGTTTCATTTGCCTTCACATTTGTAGTAGTCATTGGCCTGGTACACAGCACACGCTCCTCTACAGCATTCTAACCATGGTGCAAGAAGAACCCATTTAGGTGATGATGCTATCCGCATTCCTGTGGAAGGAGTGCGTCCGCAAATGCTTTGCACCGAGATGTGGAGAGGGCTGCTTGTTACCGAGCAATCGCGAGCCACCGTTTTCGGGTGCCATCTAACTACGTCAGAAACAAGTGGCAAGCACGCACCAACCTTGGCCGCTAATCGGTTCTGTGTGCCTTGGCACCTTTCTTGAGTGCTGAAAGATGGCACCCTAATATGGAGGCAAGCTTATACAGCGCATGCCCAGCGGCGAACACAATCTGGACGGCCACCTAAATGGGTTCTTCGTACACCGCAATTGCAACTCGAAGAGGGTCGGAGGATATAACACTGTTATCATTGTCTGTGCTTGTATTGCCACGCGCATCAACGCAAGCGGGCACATAGCCTACTGGTCACCGTGCGCGGCTTCCACGAAGAAGACCGAGGTTCGAACCCGGGCAGCGGACACACTTTTTTTTAACGTTTTTGTAAATTCGAGAACCTTCCCTCATGTTCATAATCAGAATGTCCTATGCACCGAACTTTCTACGCCGATTGCTCGAAGGCCAGACATGTATAATAAGGGCTCTGTGTGACGAGCTGGAGCCGATCTTACCCAAGCGCTTGACACTGCTGCTATGCCGACGCCTGCGGCGCCACTTATTTTGTTTTGGCACAAGTTCGCCTTATTAAACATTCAGTTTCTTTCGTTCTTTCTCGCCTCTTCACCAGTCATTCGTGACAGTATTAAAGAAAGATCGTTCCATGGCTAGCAGCTGCAGAGATGACTACTTTTCCCAATCTTAAACTGTATTTTGTATGCTTGGAGATGGCATATGCATTTATTCTGTTTGATTGAAAGTGTTAGCATAGGCTGACCTGAAGGGCATTAAATGTAGAGAATTACATGCACCAGATATTCAAGATACTAGTGTAAAACTGCAATATTGCTTCTATTTGCACCATTTGTTCATGTAGAAAGGTAGCCGAGTAGACAGAGTGTTGCAGCTTCCCCATTTTTTACTCGACAATGGTAGGGAAAAGCAGGAACCTTTGTGAATTGTGCAGGCTTCTGCATTATCGAATGTGCATATTCCCAATTGCCAACGTGAACAATTTCAGATGTTGAAGAGGAGCTGTGTAACCTCAAGCTAGATATCGCTGTTCAAGTGAACACATGGACTGAGGGGAGAAGACAACTGATTACCATCTCCACTGTTAAGGACGAACAGGCACTGTTAGTGCTAACGGGCATTTCAAGCTTGGAGCTGTTCTATAACATTGCCAATTTGTTCACCGACGCTCGGAGGAAACAGTCGAAGAGGAGCTTCTCACTTAGCAATGAGGATGTCATCCTGCTCGTCTTCACCAAGCTTTACCACAATGTGTCTTTTTCGCTGCTGGCCGTCCTGTTCGACGTACACCGCACTACGGCGTCGAGTATCTTTAAGGAGGCCATTTTACTGCTAGCATCTGTGCTAGGGCATGCAATCTACTTGCCTGACAAGGACCACGTCACTGCATGCCTCACGAAGCACTTCGATAAATACCGCATGACAAGGGTGGTCTTGGACTGCACAGAGATTGCAATTGAGCGACCAAAAGACCTGCCATCACAGATCTTAACGTACAGCATTTACAAAATACCTATACTGCTAAGATTTTGATTTGCACAACCCCTGGAGGCCTCATTAGCTATGTGAGCCGTGCCTACGGAGGTAGGACCTCCGACACACACATAACCCGGGAAAGCGAAGTTCTGACCAAATGTGAGCCCCACATTGACAAGGTCATGGCAGATAGGGGCTTTTTAATTGAAGACTTGTGCTATGAGCATGGGCTCGAGATGATCCGGCCACCTTTTCTTGGCCAGAAGAAGCAGCTGTCGCCTGGTGACGCAAAAAGAAATGCCAGCATTGCGAGTGCCAGAGTGCATGTAGAAAGAAGCATTCAGCGCATCAAACGCTTCAAGATCTTGCAGCAGCGGTTCCCACTTGATCTGCTTGCATACCTTGACAGCATTGTCACTACGCTTGCAGGAATTGTAAATATCTCGAAGCCACTGTTTGCAGACGACAAATATTTGTTTCCGTGAAAGCTGAGTTCCATGCCAGCGACACGTTTTCTTTTACTTTTAGCTTCTCAGTAACTTTTGCTCGAAATACAGTGATAACAATAAAGTTTGGCGTCAAGTTCTACGAGCTTTTTTTTTTGTGCATGTTCAATGCCCAAGGCTCTAGTCATAGATACTGAATTCCAAATCGAAGAAAACGGGTGTAATCACTAATCCCATGACGGAGGCACGAAGCTTTCACTGATTGTGGGATTAAGGAACAATCGATTATGCTTGTACCAGTGGGAAATGAGTGACATGATCCTTTATCATAACATAGTCTAAAAGAACAGAAGACACTTCAACAACTTGACATCATAAGTGAAGATGAGCAGCTGAGCGTAAGAGGACCAAGAATTGATCACCTGGTCCTGTTAGCGGATGACAAGTCTAACAGCGTAAGTGAACCAGGTACATAATTCTAGACATGTACCATAAAAAATAATTTGCACAAGAGGTATATTTAACTCGTAAAACACCTTTGACATATCAAAATAGTTTTCATCTACTTGTCCTCCACTCATAACATATAACTAGGGTGTGTATTTTCCGGTTTTAACCGAAAAACACCGATAAACATCCGTCGGTGACAAAAATACAAAATCGGTTAAAACCGAAAAACACCGGTGGTTCGATATTTTCGCCCCGGTTAAAACCGAAAAACACCCGTCGTTGCACGTTTCCGACCTAGCGAAATTCTCTCCCCGTAGAGGTTCGTCAAACGTGTTATCTCGTGGATCCTTCATTCTTCCAGTGGCGTCAGTCCGCCCTCCTTTCTGGGGGTGAAAAGCGTCTTGTTAACGCAGTGGAAAAGCTAAGCTCTCACATGCCTTTCCCCCATTGTGTCGCCCATGGCCCCCTTTTGTGGAAAAATTAACGCAGCGGAGGGTACGCTCATACGTGCCTTTTCCCCATTGTGTCTGGCAAGTAATGTCGGTGCAAGCCACGTAATCAGATGTTGCTGTGGTTCCTGGAAGACACTGCCAACATCCGTGTCGTACAGGGCTACTGACCTTTCAGAACTGAGATGCGTTCCTTGTTATCTGTTTAGTTTCCACGGGCTTTTGGAAAAACGGTAAAAAGGGTTTTGTTGGCGGAGGAGTTTTTCGCTGTATATAAAAGAACCGTTCTGTAAAAAAAAAATTGTAGACGTGTTTGAGAAGGCGCGTCCGTCCCGCGTCTGCGGGTTTCCTCAACGCGAGACTTGCTTCCCTTCGTCGTCACGCGGAGTAGAAGGCCACCAGGATGGGAAGTAAGCGGAAAGCTCAGGATGGACTACGCTACAGATTTCATGGATGAATCATCGTTCTGGTTCCGCGTGCCAATTGTTAATCCGTGCATGAACGTGGAGCTGCCAGAGGGATTTGTGCCTTATGAAAGTATCTAGGGAGCCTTCATGTGCGCTTTGAAGGCACCCTAAAAGTATCTATCGGCTGGTCCTCCGAGACGAGAGCTAGCTGAGTGACCTAGAATCAGAGTTTCTTTGTTACCGCCAGCATGCTCTGACTAGCACCGTTGATCCAGTGTTATTTTAGAAACTTCATTTACCTGACGTACTGGCCACTACTGTCCCAAGCCTGGCTGGACATTTTGGGATTTCCTGTGTTCAGCGAAAATGTGGAGAGTGTGTTTTCAAAATTGCGGGTTGTGAATCGCAAGGAACGTGCTGCCATGGCGGATGCAAGCCTCTCGAAGTATGCGTCCATCCACGATAATAACTAAGTGTGAGAAATATATGCTTCCTCGAGAAGTGTATGAAATATGTGAATAAAGTTAGAACTCTCTGTCTGTGATCAATCGCATTTTTTTCCACCGGTAATCACCGACTTTAGCCTCGTCGTGAGACGTTCCACCGAAATACACCGGTGTTTCGAAAATAAATAAACACCGAAAAACATCCGCCGATTTTTCTCACAAATAAACACCGGAAAGTACACACCCTACATATAACTCACAGCAGTCTAAAACATTTTAAACAAAAAAGACATCTGGGTGTACACAATTTTGAAAGAACACCTTAAAAAAATTCATGAAACAGGGAAGTGGGATGACTGTTAATAATAGTACGTGCATCACAACTTTTTAAGATTAAGACAACCACTTTTCCAGTGGCGACTGGTGTGATTGCGTGAACAAATGACATGCAAGGTTCCAAAACGGTAAAAAGACGCCCCAAGGTAATGTCTTCAATGAGTGGCCACATACTGCACAAAACCAGTGGGTGTAAGGAGCACTGAAACAATGACTGCAGAGAAGCATAAAACGAAGCAGTGCTTGTGCTGATCCAAAATTTAAATGACAAGGCATGGCAGGAGCGATAGGCGGGATGCTACACGCTCCAAAACATCGCTCATGCAGCGCTATCTGAAACAGATGGCCGTATTTTTGGAAAAAAAAGGCCCGACTGAATGAGGCCGATGAGACAACCCCTCTACCCTTCGCTTCGTCTCCTTGAGGAGGTGAACTGAAGCAAAGAGGAGAGAGGCGTGGCCGCTTGCTCTCATCCTCAACAGTTCTGGGAGAATCGCAATGTCACATTCCTCCTTCAATGGCACCCTTATTTTTCCAAAAATATGGCAAGCTGTTCGAGATACTGCTGTACGAGTAATGTTGTGGGGCTTCTAGCATCCTGTTGGAACACTTCTGCAGCCTTGTAAATCCAAATTTTGATTCAGCATCCTGTTTCACAGTGCTAAATTGGCGGTCGTGTAAAATCAGAGAATTACACAAACACAGTGCATAGGAGGCTAAACCGCAGTAATAAGTGGTATCATATACTCCTTAAAGAAGAAAACCGCCCTCTCAATTACATCTCTGAAAAATACTTCATCAAAATGCACAGGAAAAAGTATGTGCGTGTGCTCGTCTTTATAGACAAAGAAGTCTGTGCTTCGAATCTGAGCAATACCCATTTGCACTTGCACCTGGCAATAATACCTGCTTGTTTTCTTAAGCATATGATTATTACTGTTCTTCATCATCTCTCTGCTCTTGAAACCTTGCATGCCATCTGTGCACTTTACCTCAATCAATCGACGTTCACAACAGTCGCAAGTGACGATCCCGTCAGGACTTGCCCCAACACATGGCTACGACTCCATTATCAGAAGCCCGCTGTCTTGGATCGTGAGGTTGGCGTGGGTTGACTCCTGCAAGTACTTCCTCTTGGCAGTGCTTTCGTCTTGCGACCCTCTTGCCATTGCAGCTGATTGGAAGGTCGACTCTCGCATGAGGACCTTGAACAAGGGACGCAAATCATGGGGACCCATTTTTGTCCTCAAGGCCTTCACCCTCGTGTAGACGCTGTAGGCCACCGATGCACTAATCAGACCAGTCCTGTATTCCATCCATAGTGGCGATTCTGCTTGTTGGATGGTAAGTGTGGCAATATCTTCCACAACAGCCTTTGAAAACATTTCTTGGAGGGCTTCGTAGAAGCTGCCATCAGATGCTTGATTATCTCTGCTCATCATTCTTAATGTCTCGGTTAGTGTCGCTGGCCTCTGTGGTGGGGATGGCGACTCCTCTGGCTCGATGCACTGAAAAGCTACAAGACAAAATCATGACACAACTTTATCCGTCCCAGCTTCTCGCAGAGGTACGTCATTGTCAAGCAGTAGGATACATCCCACTTGAGAGAGGGTTCCATTCTCGGTCCCTATTTTGAGTATTTCAGCATAATTAATTTATATATATTTCAACAAGATTTATCGAGTCCACATGAAAGCATATGCAGCACATCACAGTTAGTGGTTTTTACCAATGAGGCTCGACTATCGGTGAAAGGAAACGAGCAAGCTCGATTGCTGGTCCTTCAAATTAAAGCATATCTATGTGTGGCAGTAAATTCATTGCATACCTTGAGGGTCAACTTTTCCTAATATTAGGCCTTCCCACCTCCCATCCCTTGTATAGATAAAGCACCTGGGCCTCTACTGGTATATGGTGGCTTACCCCTAGTAGCTACCACCAGTACAATAATTGAAGATCTTGGGTGAAAATTATTACTTCGCAATTTTTGAGCTAAGCAAAGCAAAGGAAGTTTTCACATTCTGCCTCACGGAAAAAGACAAAAAGAATTGTGGCGTTCTCATGAAGAAGCAAAGACCACGAGGATAGGAGATTCGGCGATGACTGAATAGGACGGGTGGGCTTGGCTGTGACCTGGAGATCAGTGACTCTCAGCAACAAGCTGAAGAGCGACAAGGAATTTCCTGTACCTACCCATTCCCGGCGCCGGCCCGAACGGACACTGTGAGGAACCTCTGCACCCCCCTACTCTTGGCAATGATCCGAGGCAACCCAAAGCATGACCAGGGTCCCTCCCCTCACACAGTGACAAGGACGCACATCCATCAATATAGGTTAACTTTCGTTGAAACATATTCACTGAAGTGGTCGCCTGAACGATGGATGTGAGTACCCACATCTTGTAGATATGTAAATACTTGAGCGCTGATATGTCATATTTTATTAATATACATTTATTTACTCTTCCAACCGCATGCATAATTTTCTTTCACTCTTGTGGTTGGCCAGAGTAAATGTATATTAATAAAATATGACATATCAGCGCTCAAGTATTTATATATCTACTAGACATTGGTACATTCTCACATATATCGTCCAGATGACCACCTCATCCAAGATGTTTCAGCCAAAGTTAATCTATACTGCTGGATGTGCGTCCTTGTCACTTTGTGATGGGACCCTCGCCGTGGTTCAGGTTGCCTCGGGTCATTACCGAGAATAGGTTGGTACAGAGGTTCCTCCCGGTGCCAGTTCGGGCCACTGCCAAGAATGGATACGTACAGGAAGTTTCTTGTCGCCTTTCGGGTTGTTGCCGAGAGTCATTGATGCTTCTCCGGGTCATAGCCAAGTCTACCCGTCCTATTGGTCATCGCCGAATCTCCTGTTCTCGTACTTTTCGCTTCTTCACAAGCATATCACACTTCTTTTTTGTCTCTTTCCCTGACGCGGAACGTGACAGGGCGCTTACCCATTATTCAGAATGATCCAAGTTAATCTATCCTGCAGACAACACTATAAGGAGCCCATATTGGTCAACAGATTCAAAATGTTTTCAGAGTAGCTCAGAACTGGCAATGATGCAACTGTTCCTTCAAGCTGTCAATCAGTATGTGGCAGCTGACAGGCGTTCTTTAAGCTAAAACTTTTAGACTGCAGTGTAATTTCATAATATTTTTTTCATTATAGGTGACTGCTAAATGTTACGGGCACAATACCAACAATCAAAGTAATTTGTGGACTAACCATGTACGGGAATTTCCTCGCGGTGACGGTGAGCAGCAGAGCGATATGGGAGCCCCTGCAGTAGCTTGCCCAGGACGTCTCCCTCCAGACTTGCGTCACTCGCTGTCTTGATCTAGAATTTCGGATAAGCAAGCACATTAGCCCTGGATTGGGTTTATTGCCAGGCAAGCACTGTCCAGTTCAGTTGGTGTTGCGTGACCTTGGCCCTATAAATGGAGTTTTTCTATCAACAGTGAATGTCACTGGCCACACACACACACAAAAAAACAGTTCGTGACATATGAAGGAAAACACAGAATTGCCAAACTCAGCAATCAGACTCACTATTGGCCTGCGATATGCACCACAAGCCACTCGTGCTATTTCCAGTCGCAGCATCCATGGCAGGCACTTATCACGGCGGCCGTTGAAGTGGCACGTCTTGCCAGATTCTGAGGCGAGCACCATGTTGCAGAATAGCGGAAGAACAGACGTGCCTGTAAGCAGTCGGAGAGGCATGCGCTATATGATAGTCGAAACCAGGCGAGCCATCGGCAGATGGCGCAGAGATACGCCTCAATTGCGGCTCGCATGTACTGGGCATTTGTGCCTACATTACTTCCTTGCTGCCTCTTAGAATTACCATCCACTGTAGTATGCTGTATTCTTGCACATACATACCTTCTTTACGCAGGGAAACTCAATGATTGGCCTGGGCGCATACTTGTCCTTCACACCCTGTTTTTGACTTTTCCCCCACTGCTGTGGCAGGTCGGTCGACGACAAGATTTCAAACACCTTTGTGGCATGGATGTACAGGAGCATGGCCACAATGTGTTTGCATTTGTAGCTCCTAAAAATGAAAACAGTGCTACTGTGAAGTAAAGCCTTTACAATGAATTTCTGAGATATACAAAATCGCCAAAAGCACTCTTTTCGAAGCAATGAGATGACATCCTGCTTCCATGTTTACCGTGTTTACATACAAGCCTTAAAATGGTATGGTATAAATTATGGCAGTGGCAGAAGTTAGTGGAAGGTATGGCTCCGACGCACTGATGTCTGCACCACCTTATCCTGGCATCATGGGTTAATGTAAACCTTTCCCGCATGTGTTTGTCAATCTTCTGGCTTGTCCGTCCGTTCCGTTCCCGTTCCCCCCCCCCCCCCCACAAAAAAAAAGGGTCGTTGAAGCTGGCATTAGTCACTCTATTCACAGTGGCACCCATGAGGAACCATAAGCCGAGCATACTTTCCCTTTCTAGCTTAATTTGTATGATCAACATAACATTAGACTGGTTTCCTCCAATACGTTTGTAATTCGCTTCCATCGAAGTATCGTTTTCATTTTAGCAAGCTCCACTGAAGGTTCATGCAATGGGGAAGTTGTTGCAGTCCAAGCAATTGACTTTTGCCGGCTTTCAGAATGAAATACTCGCACGCTCTGCCTCAGCGGAGGAACCCCCTCTCGAAATATTACCCCTCCGAAACGAGCATGCGAGGTTTGTTAGCGTACATTCTACATTGAAAGGGTCAGGAAAGGGAACTTCCGAGAGCAGGGAAGATCAATTAAGAGTTCACAACATGCGTATCCTGCTTTGCACGAGCATGATGCAGCTGCCACTGTCTTCTCTTTCACCACGATCTCGAGCTCGTGCGGGTCTCTGCTTAAAGCCAATATTTGCAGCACGAAACCTACAAACGTGCTGTTACTGTCAACTTTTTCTTTAACACTGCACGTCACAACGTGCAAAGCTTCCAGTACGGCTTCTCCCTCGAGCAGAAGTCGAGATGTGGCAAACTCCTGTGCCACGTACTCGTTGATACTGGAGAGGGGAAGCGTCACTGCAAAGGAACAATAATAATTCAGACTTGGTTCACGCAGTTCCGTACGAATGCTTGGAAACAACTCCAGAGCCGTGCTAATTCCTTACCTTGGACGGAAGCGTCGGTATCGGCGAGCTCCATACCACCACAACGACAACGCGCGCGTGCACAGTTGTCCCCTCACGCCCTGCTGAATGCGAACTTAACGCTGCTAGATTAAAATTAGATTAAACTTATCAGGACCAACAGACAAAGAATCGCCACACGCTAAATCCAGAACAAAAGAAAGTCAGCAAGCACTACCAGCGCAACCGCGCATCCGCGTTGGACTGCGCGCGAGCTACCAAGTTCTAGGCTTGCTCTCGAACATCTTAAAGCTGGTATCTATCAAGAGAGCTTGGGAGGGGCTGCCGTTCAGTCCCACAAAAGCTCATGACACGTCATAAAATTTTAAAAATAATTATCAATCGTTCCTGCTGTAAACTAACAGAAATGTCTCATACGATTACATATAGCGTCGTCTGCTAGCGTCCTACTGACTAGGTTACAGAAAGCATCCGCGAGGCGGCGCCACCCAAAGATCTCGTCGCCAATACGACTCAACATCCCTTCGTTTGCCAGAGTCACATACATTGTACCTGAATCGAAATGTTCTCGCGAAGTGAAGTAGGTTGCCTAAAATACCCGTGATTGGTACAACTTTGTATCGCAGTATTAGATGTTGATTCGTGGTTTTGCCCTTGAACTAAGGAATTCATTACAGTGAATAAAATCATGAAATGGGCAGTTCGTCGCCATATACACCATAAAATGTGTTTTATGGAATACGTTTCACAATACATATATGATGACGAGACGACTGAACTCAAGGCAATATAATTTTCAAGATGTCACGAAAGTCACGGGACAAGTCCTTCCAGTCTATATTTTATAGAAACACTAAGCGACAATCGCAATGCTTGTTTTTCTAACTAGCGTTGTTTGCTCTCAGCAGCATGATGCGGGCGACGAATCATGCGAAAAGGAGTGGCTGAAATTGTTCACTCTAACCTATGAGCACCTTCGTACTGAGATCGAATCTGACCTAAAACAGTGCTTACCCATGTGAACATTTTCTTATATTGGATAAACTGGCATAGCCTGGTTCTTGAGGTTTGCTCTTGACAAAATGCCGGTCAATTTTATTTGCAAATAAGCACCACCCTCGCTAATTGATGATTTTTGTTAAATAGAACAAATTAGGATTTCATGCTCTACTCAATTCGGAAGCTACTTAATTCGACACTTTCTGAGAGTTTAAGTGTGCAATCGTCATAGTTACACCATTCGTTCCAGTAAAAAAAGGCGATAATAAAAACACATAACAAACGCGATAATAAACTTCTATATATTTTAGAAGTTATATATGCGTGAGGAACACATATAGTTATTTAAATTAGCTTCAAAATAATAAAAAAACATTATTTAAAGCTTTTCCAAATCACCTATAACGTGTCTATTGAGGATAAAAGCGCCGGAAAAGATTTGCAGAACATCTTTCAGATAATTTAAAGGTGCATTTACTTATATATCTTTGAGGTGACGATCTTCTATTTATGCTGCCAAATCTTCAGGCAGGAATTAAGTATATTTTTATTATCATCGATAAATTGGACTTCATGAAGTTCACATAACCGCCTGAGACCGACACGGAAGGACGATACTCGAAAATACACCAGCTGTTAAGTCTTCGGTAACGTGCTTTTGTTAGCTGTTTTGCAGTGTAAAATACTGGGTTGCAGGGTATGCCAAAAAACACTGTGGTCACATGATATATCGGAAGGCAAATACACGAAATGTGCAGAAATAAGGAGATGACACGCAATTTTTTCTAAATAATCCCTTACACAACGCTTTACTGCAAAAAGAAATGCATTGAAATGCATAAAATGATATTCCTAATTAAACATAGATTCCGCGCAGGGCAAACAAAGATTTTTAGAATCCTAATATAAATCACTTTTGGGCATCAGCTTGCCTCAGCTCGAAACGTCGCGAGATAATACCTCGGGAGGCTAATGTTACCTTAGGTTTTACGTGCACTTGTTTTGGGACCTTACTTCACGACTCTGTTCTTTATCAGTCATGTGCTCCAACATCTCATTAGGCTGCCGTATATCATCGCGAGACTGCTATATATACTACACAACTTTACACCTTGGACGTCTACTGCTGGTGGTGCGAACGTCGCACTTCACCAGAAAGCTCAAGTATTTAACATGGTTTGCACGTGACGTAATCTCACTAGATACTGGTTGTCATTGCGAGTTGTTCTTGCTGAGAAAATCAAATCCGATGGGGCAAAATGCACGCTGCATAAGTTTTGTGCTCAGTGCAAGCTATGTATTTGAGAGGCACACATTTTTCTTGTAGGTGCATCGTCGTTAGGCACGGCGCGAGTATCTGGCACGGCGAAAACGTGCTTTCTGGCAAGAGTGTTTTTACAAATAAAAGTTGAACCAACTACCCATCTGTCACTATCGTTTCCAAACCACGCTTTCTAGTCTGCGCCGAAAATGCGGGGCAGAGGAATCTTTACGAAGCAGTATGCTTTAAAACTACCCCCCTCCCCACTCCCTTTCTTTTTTTAGTTGCTCCTCAAGATACTTTTTATTCCTCAGGGATTCCCTACTCCGTATTAAGTGGTGTTCACTCGACAATTATATTTGTGTCACTTGTTAACAGTAATTCTCCCTTGCTTTTACTTTGCACCAAACTGTGAAGGTTAAACAAAATACAGGGCGGTCGAAACTTGGAGAACTTGAGAACGACACTCATGTGAGACTTAGGGCGGCTGCCATCGTTCGGCTATCCCCGTGAGGCCACTAGGATCATTCTTCTCAGGTATCCCTCCCGTACACACTAATAGTTTCATGTAACGTCGGACTAATACGTCACATTTACACCCTTTAACACTTCTATTCTCGGTACAACTTTCTGAGGCAGTTCAGCAATAACGTAAACACGTTTGGGAGCCTCAATGGTGTGCATACATGTAAAATGGGTCGTGCAGCATTTTTTTTTTACCTTAAGTTCAATAAATACCGCCAAGTTGTAATCCCTGACGTTGATAACTCGCAAAAGCATCCATTAGTTTGCCCCTCCGCGAAATGGCAGACAGTCGAAAGAAAGAAATGAAACAGCTTTCCCCTCCTCAACTCGCACTTAGAGCTATCAGCCACGTGATCTGATCCTAATATATGCACCGTCAATGTTTATCATCGTCATACGCAGGGTTGGCAAAGCAGAGAGCATGGGCTAATCTTCAGGTATAGTTTTAGTTCGGCTATATTGGGGCCCGAGCCCCACTAAAGCGACAAACAGAAACAAATGACAGCGGCTAGCCTTAAACCAGAGAATTTCGCGATTTGACAGGCTTTGTAGAATAAAGAAGGCTATGCTCAAATACGAGTATCCTGCGCACGACGGTACCATTTGCAGGCTTGTAAACACTCGTGCAAACTTCGCGAGCACCGAACAACTCAAAGCCATATAAAGGTACCATCGCGAACATGCTGCATGTGTCTGAGGCTTGTTGCTGTCGTTTGTTTCTGTTTCTAGCTCTTGTGGGACTCGGGCCCATCATAATTTTTGAGTTGAACACGAGCCGTTACCCGAATGTTTGGCGATACTGGTTGTCATGAACCAGAGCATTCGACTCGCGATCATGACAATCGAGTACATCATGGTGTCACGTGACTCTCAGTGCGAAGTTGTGATGTCATGTGACGTCACGGTATCAACAACGTTAATAGATCTAGCGACGTTCTCAATTTGAATCGACTTAACGCGGTGAGTCACGTGACGTCACGGGGTCACGTGATGTGACATTACTTGACAGTATGTCTTGAC